ATGGTTTTTATTTAAGTTTTTATTTAGTTTTTTTTCTGGTTTTGTCATTTGAGTGTGACGTCACTTGTCATTTTTCTGCAGATCCTCCAATCCCCCTTTCGAATCAGCGACTGCTGTTTACCCTCCGCTAGGCCTCGGCTCCTCCCCACACTGTCCTCGCTCTGCCTTCCGAATCCCATTCTACATTCCCCCACCTCCACAACAATGCCCGGCTACACCACTGTCTCACACTGCAGGCTGCCGAAAGCCTCATACACGCATTCATTACATCGAGGCTTGACTTGAGCTACCAAGATATTGGACTCCCCCAATATTGGGCTCCCCAGATATTGGGCTCTTCTGATATTGGGCTACCCCGATATTCAGCTATTCCAAGTTTCGGCTATCCCAATATTGCTCTCCCCCGATATTGTTCTCCAGCAATATTGGGCTCCCTGATATTGGGCTACCCAGACATTCGGCTATTCGAATATTGGGCTACCTCGATATTGGGCTACTACGATATTGGTCTACTCCAATATTGTTCTCCCCCGATACTGGGCTCCAGCAATATTGGGCTCCCCCAATATTGGGCTACCCTGATATTCGCCTATTCCGATATTTGGCTACCCCGATATTGGGCTACCACTGTATTGTTTTACCAAAATATTTGTCTCCCTTAATATTGTTCTCCCTGATACTGGGCTCTGGCAATATTGGAATATCCCGATATTGGACTACCTTGATATTGGTCACCAATATTGGAGTAGCCGAATATGGGTGTAGCCCAACATGGGGGTAGTACAATATCAGGGAAGACCAATATCGGGGGAGACCAATATTGGGGGAGACCAATATCGGGGAGACCAATATCAGGGGAGACCAATATCGGGGGAGACCAATATTGGGGGAGACCAATATGTGCATAGCCCAATATGGGGGTAGTCCAATATTGGGGTAGCCCAATATTGGTGAAGCCCAAAACAGGTAGCCAAATATCGAGAGAGCCCAATATCGGTGGAGCCCAATATCGGGTAGCCCAATATCGGTGGAGGCCAATATCAGGGTAGCCCAATACTGTTGTAGCCTAATATCGGGGTAACCCAATGTCGATGCAGCCCAATAACAAGGAGCTCAATATCAGGGGAGTCCAATACTGGGTAGCCCAATGTCAGGGTAGCCCAATAATGGTGGAGCTCAAAACGGGTAGCCCAATATCATGGTTGCCCAATATTGTTGTAACCTAATATCGGGGTTGCCCAATATAGGTGTCGACCAATATCGGGTGAGATCAATATCAGGGGAGCCGAATATCACGGTAGCCCAATATCAGTGTAGCCCAATAACTGGGGAACCCAATATCGGCGTAGCCAATTTCGGGGTAGCCCAATATTGGTGTTGTCCAATATCTGGGAAGCCCAATATCGGGCAAGCCCAATATCGGGGTAGCCCAATATTGGGGTAACCCATTATCAGGGAAGCCCAGTATTGTGATAGCCCCAAATCATGGGAGCTGAATTTCGGAATAGCCCAATATCGGTGTATACCAATATGGAGGTAGCCGAATAATGTGGTAGCCCAATATCAAGGGAGCCCAATAGCAGGGTAGCCCAATATCGGGATATCCCAATATCGGGGAAGCCCAATAATGTGGTAACCCAATATCAAGGGAGTGCAATATCAGAGTAGCACAATATTGGGGTAGCCCAATATGGGGGTAGCCAAATATGGGGTTGGTCCAATATCGGGGTAGCCCAATGTTAAGGTAACCAAATATCGGGGAAGCCCAATAACGTGGTAGCCCAATAGCAAGGGAGCCCAATATTGGGTTAGCCCAATATCCGTGGAGCCCAATAATGGTTAGCCCAATAATGGTTAGCCCATTATTGGGGCAGTCCGATATCGGTGTAGCCCCATACAATATTGTTGTAGCCTAATATCAGGGCAGCCCAATATTGGTGGAGCCCAATAACGAGTAGCCCAATATCGGGGAAGTCTGGGTAGCCCAATATTGAGGTAGCCCAATATCAGGGTTGCCCAATATACGGGTTGCCCAATATCGGAGGAGACCAATATCAGGGAGTCGAATATCACAGTAGCCCAATATCAGTGTAGCCCAATAAATGGGGAACCCAATATTGGCACAGCCAATATCGGGATAGCGCAATATTGGTGTTGCCTCATATTGGGGTAGCCCAATATCTGTGCAGCCTGATATCTGGGGAGCCCAATATCAGGCAAGCCGAATATCGGGGAAGCCCTATATTGGGGTAAGCAAATATCGTGGTAGCCCAATATCAGGGCAACACATTATCGGGGAAGACCAAAAATGTGGAAGCCCAATATCAAGGGAGCTCAATATCGGGTTAGCCCAATATTGGAGTAGACCAATATCTGTGAAGTGCAATATCGGGTAGCCCAATATCACAGGGGCCCAATGTTGGGGTAGCCAAATATTGTTGTAGCCTAATATTGGGGTAAACCAATATCGGTGGAGCACAATAACGGTTAGCCCTATATCGGGTTAGCCCAATATGGGAGTAATCCAATATCGGGGAAGCCCAATAAAGGGGTTAGATAGCTCAATATCGGAGTAGCCCAATATCAGTGGAGCCCAATATCAAGTAGCCCAATATTAGGAGAGTCCAATATCGGGTTAGCCCAGCATCGGGGTAGCCTAAAATCGAGGGTGCCCAATATCAGGGGTGCCCAATATCGGGGGAGACCAATATTAGGGTCACAAAATATTGGGGGAGACCAATATCGGGGGAGACCAATTTCGGGGAAACTATTGGGAGAGAAGAATATCGGGTGACCAATATCAGTATAATCCAATATTGGAGTAGCCCAATATCAGGGTAGCCCATTATCAGTTTCCCAATATTACGGAAGCTCGATATTTTGGTAGCCTAATATCAGGGCAACAAAATATTGTGGTCGTCAAAGTATCGTGGTAGCCCAATATCAGGGGAGCCCAAGATCGGGGTAATCCAATATCAGGATAGTCCAATATTGGGGTAGTCCAATATTGGGTAGCACAATATCGATGGAGCCCAATATTCGGGTAGCCCAATATCAGGGTAGCCCAACATGGGGGTAGTCCAATATCGGGTAGCCCAGTATCAGGATAGCACAATATTGGTGGAGCGCAATATTTGGTAGTCCAATATTGGGGGAGTCCAATAATGGTAGCCCAATCGTGGGGTAGCCCAATATGGGGATAGTCCAATATGGGGGTAGCCCAATATCAGGGGAGCCCAATATCGGGATAGCCCAATATTGGGGGAGTCCAATACTGTGGTAGCCGAATATCGGGGTAGCCTAATATTGTGGTAGTCAAAATATCGTGGTAGCCCAATAACGGGCAGCCCAATATCAGCAGAGCCCCATATCAGGGTAGCCAAATATCATTTTACTCCACCTTTGTACCTTAAAGCCCTTATACAGAAATTCCATGAAATGTTTCTTTGCTCAACAGCTGTTCCAAAAATCACTTGGAATGTTATTCAACTCGACATGTTTACAGAAATTCCACTAAATTTGGTTCTGTTGCATGTTTGTGCAGAAATCGCATCAAATGTAACTTTACACCACCTTTATTCTGAAATCATTTCAAATGTTATTTCAATCGACATTTTTAGAAGTGTTTGTGATGAAATGTCATCCATAGTCATTTTACTTTAACACTTGTACTAAAACAACTTGAAATTTTATTTAATTTGATGTTTTCTCTTGAATAACATTTAATTCAATTACATCACTTGAAATTTCATATTATTCGACATTTTTACAGAAATTCCATGAAATGTTAATTTGTTTCATGTTTGTGCAGAGATGTCATCAAAAGTAATTTTACTCGACATTTATATTGAAACCACTTGAAATTTTATTTCTATTGACATTTTTGTAAAATTACATTTTCCCCTGTGATTTCTGTAATTCTCCATCTCTCAAATAAAGGAGATGCCCCAACGTAAGTGAAAGTAAACAGCAGATTTATTCCAAAGCACATTTTTTTTGTGGTACGATATAGGTGGGGACGTCCTCCTGAGGTGAAAGGTGCTATACAAATGTAATCTTGTTGTTGGAATTGTTGTTGCCATGTGGCCTTCCACAGGTATGCAGGAGCAAGACTTCCTGAACAGCGGCATTTTTAAAGATAATGGCACCAGTGCCTTTGGAGCATCAGTATCAATCTCGTGGGGGGTGGAGTTGAAACTGATTGAGCGATTGCAATTGAAATTCTCCAAACAGGAGTATGAATTATCCAAGCAGGCAGGTTCTGATAACGATTTCAAGGGAGCACTGAGGAGATTTGGTTCAAATTGGATGAATTAAAATTTTAAGTTAAGATAAAAAAAAGTAATTTAAAAAAATTGGTTAAAATGGATTTGTGTTCAAATAAATACTTTTAACATAAATACAAGTTAAAATTTTGATGACCAAAATCAATTTTTGAAAAAAAGCACAAATGTATTCTGGCATGTCTCCCGCTGATCATCCCTGGCCTCTGGACTGTAACACTTGTGAGTCAGAAGCTTGGCACCTTAAGAGTGTCAAGTTCGAAATATTCTGACCCTCACCACAACCAATTTCAAGGTCCTGGTAAACAGTTCACAATCCACTTTAAGCATCTCAACACACTCACATGAATATGAAGCAAATGAAACAAATCAGGTGAGGAGGACTCATCTTTCGAATGAGAGAAATGGAGAGTGTGCACAGCCTCAAAGCAAACTGTTTAACAATCACCATATGAAAGAGCAATAGAGAGAAAAAAAACAATCTTTACAGCAACACAGTGTTTCATGTGAAGCCTATTTAATATCAGTGTCTCTCATTTACTAAATCATCTATGCTCACTCTTTACGCCTTTCCCACATTCTTTCAGGAAGAACATGAGAACATGAGAAAGCCAGGGAGTTTTTTGGGTCAGTCTAACCCATTGAAACTCCTCATCAAACCAAACAGAGTTTCACATGTTATGGAAGTTTCCCTGTGTCTGGAATGGAATGCACTCTCTCTCCCTGCCTCCGTAAAGGGGCAGGGAGGGAGTGTGCATTCATTCCATCCACCTGGATTACCTAATCCCAGAAGGTACTTGGCCAGGTTGGCAAGAGCCAGCCAAGATCCAAGGCTTTGGCAATCCAGAGTTGGGGTAACTGATGAAGTTTGACTCTGTCACACATCCCGCGAGGGATACGGCTTAACCCAGTGGGAATAATTCCTGCCTGACTTGCTCATTTGTGGCTCATTTGTGGTCAAGTGCAGTTGAAGGCAATTTTAGGGATCCATTTACTAATCACCACAGCAACAATGCAAATAAACATCATATTGTACAGGGCTCTACAGTGACACAGATCTACATGCAAAGATCATTGCCAGCACTGAATCGAGAACCCACACAATTGGTTAAAAAATCATCAATCTGTTTCATCTCATTCCACAACAAAAATATGTTCAGCAAGACAAAATGTACAACAAGCTAATGCAGTGTTATGTGTAATGTGATTTCTATTGCCTGTTTTAGTGAAAGGCCGACATCATGCCCAAACTGAATCCCTATGGATTCTGAGGTGGCACATTCCCTGGATTCGGCACAGAAGGCTCTGGAGTAGTGTGCCAACTAGTCTCCTTATATACAAACCATGCATTTCCACACCACAGGATCAGGTTGAGGAAGCCAAAGACCTGGAAAGGGGAAACAAACCCATTACATTGCTTCAAATAAAGTAATGCAAATAATAATAATAATCCTTGCATTTGATACACCATTTTATCACCTTGAAATATCCCAAAGGACTTCACAGAATGCTGGTGTGCAAATTTACTGCCATATTTGCCAAACAAATACACAGTCTCGCACAAGCCATAAAGTTATTGATCAATTTTATTTGGGAATTGTTGGCCAGACATTGTGAAGAGAAACTTCCTTCTCTTTTCCAATTGGGTTGCCCAATCTTTTACGTCCATCTGAACAGGGAGATTGAACTTTGACAATGTAGTCCTTGTTTCATACCCTTTTAAGAAAATAAGCACCATTTAACTAGTTGGATTGTTTGATTTGTAACTTGTGAGTTGAGAATAAAATAGTTTTCTTCTAAAAGAGTGTTGAAAACATAACAGTCCTCTCCCTGGCAATACATTGGATTGTGACTCACAAGGGACATTGTTGCTAACTGGAAGTGGTCCTATGGTTAATAGTTGTATTATTTACAGATCCCAAGAACTCCCATCCCAAAGTAGCCAATAAAGAAAACCAGCATGGAGTCTCCAGCAGTCTGAGTGAGTATGTACAGATTTGCTCACAAGACGACAATACGGTATATCTGTGAAGCCCTTTGAGATGTCTCAACAACAAAGTTACTATATCACATGCAAGGATGTGACCAGGGATCCCTCTGCCTCCTTGTCCTCTCCGCGGCGTTCGACAGTCGATTACGCCATCCTCCTCCATCATCCACCTCAGTGGGACCGCACTCGCCTGGTTCGAGTCCTACCTCACAAACCGCCAGCAGTACATCTGCACAAATGGCTTCTCCTCCCGCTCTCACCTGCGGGGTACCCCAAGGATCCATCCTTTGTCCCCTCCTCTTCCTAATCTATATGCTCCCTCTTGGGGATGTCATCCGCAGACATGGGGCACATTTCCACATGTACGCGGACGACACCCAATTCTATTTTTCCACCTCTCTTTGCGACCCCCAGTCCCTGATGTTCTGTCAGCCTGCCTGTCAGATCTCAGGGGCTGGATGAGTGCAAATTTCCTTCAGCTGAACGTTGACAAGACGGAAGCCATACTCTTTGGCTCTCGTCAATGTCTAAATTCTCACGGCTCTCACCACCTCCACCTACCCGACCTCTCCCTACAACTCTCCGAACCCATACACAATCTAGGCATCAGGTTCGACGCCCAATTATCCTTCCTCCCCCCATCCGCCTTCTTCCACCTCCGCCCATCTCCACCAATACCTCTCTCTGAAAGCTGCTGAAAAACCTAGTCCATGCCTTTGTCACCTCTCGGCTGGACTATTCTAACTGCCTCCTCGCTGGTCTCCCATCCATTTGAGTCCTGTAGCACAGTGGTTAGAGCACTCGCTTTGCAAGTGAGAGACCTGAGTTCAATTCCAGGCAGGGCGAAACCTTGGGCAAGTTTCCTTACTCCACACGCCTAATAATAATCCCTCCAAAACAATAAAAAAAATTGGTCATTTTCAATCCATGACTGTTTGTGGGAAGTTGCTGTGCGCAATTGGCTTCCGCGTTCGCCCACAAATATACAGTCAATTCACTTTACAGTATATTCTGTGAAGCGCTTTGGGACGTCTAGAAGACATGAAAAGCACTATATCAAATACAAGGATTATTATTATTATTACCATCCATAAAATCCAGATCATTCAAAACTCTGCCGCCCGCATTCTCACCCGCACCAAACTCCGCTCCCTGATCCTTGTCAGACTGCAATGGCTGCATGTCCCAGAAAGGATCGACTTCAAGATCCTCACCCTTGTATTCAAATCCCTCCACTCCTCTACACCCCCCTACCTCTCTGACCTGCTTGCTCCTCAAAACAGTACCCATCGCCTTCGTTCCTCTGGATCTGGCCTTCTCCTCGTCACCCAAGTCCTCCGCTCCACCCTCGGCGGCCGTGCCTTCAGCCACTATGCCCCAAGGCTCTGGAATTCTCTTCCTCACTCCTTTCACCTCGCTCCCTTTCTTCCTATTTTCAGGTCCCTGCTGAAGACCTTTCTTTTCGACCACGCCTTTGGTCACCTTCCTCCCTCTGCCCCTGGCTTGGCCCCGTGATCCATTACTGCGAAGCGCTCTGAGACGCCATCCGTTGAGGAGAGCGCTATATAAATCCAAGTTGTTGTTGTTATAAATACAGGTCACGCAAAGATCTGAGGGATTGAAATCCAACCACACTCCCCAAACATCACAGCTAACTCCTGAGAAACCATTGCAAACTATTTCAAGGACAAGAGGGCATTTACAATTATAATTGGGAACCTGAATAGGAAAGTTTGGAAGTTTTTTTTGTCTCAAAGGGTTGATTGGAGGTATTGAAAAGGAAGAGGATTATAGGAAAATGATTTGGGATATGGATAGATGGCATCAATGGAGGTGCAAAGACCAACATAAATACAATATGTCAAACTACCACCTATTGTGTGACATGTTTCTTTGGGTTAGCCTTTTCGTTCCCAGTCTCCAAGCATTCGAAGAGACAAAGTCAAGGATGTTTGTTAGGTAGGACTCCAGGCTAGTGCGTCCCACTAAGGAAGGAGGTGGTAGATGAGGATGGCGTGGTGTGTGCGCGGAGGAGGTAACGGATGGTGCAGAAGAGTGTCTTTAGTTGGTTTTTGGTCTCCAAGATAGTTTTGGAGTAAAAGGCAGTTTTGGCCTGTGAGGGGGAGAGTCGATAGTTACGGAGACCCTCAAGCCGCAGCTTGGTCCGGATGGGATAGCATCCTCAATTGCTGATGTAAGTGAGGGTGGAAATAGCCAACACTCTGGCCACAATCTTTCAATCTTCCTTGGATATGGGAGTAATTGCCTGAGGGCTGGAGGGTTGCAAATGTTACTTCCCTGTACAAAAAAGAGGAATAAATAATAATAATAATCCTTGCATTTGATATAGCGCTTTTCACGTCGGGAGGACGTCCCAAAGCGCTTCACAGAACACACTGTAAAGTGAATTGACTGTATATGTGTGGGCGAACGCGGCAGCCAATTGCGCACAGCAATGTCTCACAAACAGTCATATGGATTGAAAATGACCAATTTATTATTGATTTGTATTTTTGGAGGGATTATTATTAGGCGTGTGGAATAAGGAAACTTGCCCAAGGTTTCGCCCTGCCTGGAATTGAATTCAGGTCTCTCACTTGCAAAGCGAGTGCTCTAACCACCGACTCCACGGTAAATCTGGTAACTACAGGGCAGTCAGCCTAACATAGGTGGTGGAGCAACTTCTAGAGACCATAATCCGGTTCAAAATAAATTTTCACTTAGTAAAACATAAGTTAATTAATGACAGTAAACACAATTTGTTTAAGGCAAATCGTGTCTGACAAACTTAATTGAGTTCTTTGATGATATAACAGAGAGGACTGATGAAGAAAGTGGTTGATGTAGTGCATATGGACTTTCAGAAAGCATGTGGTAAGGTGCCACTTAATCGACTAGTTAACAAAACTGAACCCCATGGGATAAAAGAGCCAGTGACATGGATATGAAATTGGCTGGGAGACAGAAAGCAGAGGGTAGTGGTAAATGGCTGTTTTCAAACTGGAGGGAAGTGTATGTTGGTGTTCCCCAGGGTCCACTGTTCTTTTTGATATATGTGAACAATAATAATAATCCTTGAATTTGATATGGTGCCTTATCACGTCTTCTAGACGTTTCAAAGCGCTTCATAGAATATACTGTAAAGTGAATTGAACACAGCACAATTGCGCATAGCAGTGTGACACAAACAGTCGTGACCAAATGATTATTTAAAAAAAAATTTTGATGGAATTATTACACCCAGAAAAATAATCCGTAAATCGACTAACAACCAGGTTCCTACTTATTTCTAGGTAAACAGAGGCATGTGGAGTAAGGAAGCTTGCCTAAGGTTTTGCTCTGCTGAGAATTGAACACAGATCCTCTTGCTTGCGAGGCGAGTGCTCTAACCACTAAGTTATAGGATTCAGCATGACTTGGGTTTAGAGAGCAATATTTTAAAGTTTGCAGTTACACAAAACTTGGGAACATGGTAAACAGCAAGGAGGATGGTAGCAGACTGCAGGAGGACATAGACAGACTGGTGAAATGAACAGACACATGACAGATGAAGTTTAATGCAGAGAAGTGTGAGGTTCTTGGGATGTCCTTCCGACATGAAAGGTTCTATACAAATGTAATTTTGTTGTTGCTGCTGCTGATGCATTTTGGGAGGAAAAATGAGAGGCAATATACAATAAATGGTACAGTTTTAAAGGGGGTACAACAGCAGAGACACCTGGGGAGGGGCTTCAAATACACAATCTTTGAAGGTGGCAGGATAGGTTGATTGAGCTGTTCAAAAAGCACATAGGATCCTTGACTTCATAAATAAAGGCATAGAGTAAGGAAGTTCTGCTATCCCTTTGTAAGTCACTGGTTTGGCCTCAGCTGTAATATTGTGCCTAATTCTGGGCACAACACTTTACGAAGGATATCAAGACCTTGGAGAGAGTGCAGAGGAGATTTACCAGAATGGTACCAAGGATGAGGGACTTTAGTTAAGGGGAGATTTAATAGAGGTGTTCAAAATTATGAGAGGTTTTGATAGAGTAGATAGGGAGAAAGTATTTCCACTGGCAGGTGGGTCAGTAACCAGGGCACATAGATTTTAGATAATTGGCAAAAAATACAGAGGGGAGAGGAGGAGACTTTTTTTACACAGAGAGTTGTTACGGTCTGGAATGCACTGCCTGAAAGGATGGTGGAAACAGATTCAATAACAACTTTCAAAAGGGAATTAGATAAGTACTTGGAAAAATTTGCAATAATAATAATATTAATAATCATTGCATTTGATATAGTGCTTTTCACTTCCTCTAGACGTCTCAAAGCGCTTTACAGAATATACAGAATTTACAGAATTGACTGTTTATTTGTGGGCAAAACGTGGTAGCCAATTGCACACAGCAGTGTTCCACAAACAATCATGGATTGAAGTGACCAATTTATTATTGGGTTTTTTTCCTTGAGGGATTATTATCAGATGTGAGGAATAAGAAAACTTGCCCAGGTTTCACCCTGCTGAGAATCAAATCCAGGTCTCTCGCTTGCGAGGCGAGTGCTCTAACCACTGAGCTACAGGACTCCAAGTGTGGGGAAAGAGCAGGGGAGTGGGACTGATTGGGTAGCTCTTCCAAAGAGCTGGCACAGGCATGATGGGCCGAATGACCTCCTTCTGTGCAATATTTTATGATTCTATGACTCCATGAAAGGAGCTCCACAGCATGGGGCAAAATGGCAGATGAGGTGGGAGGCAAACATGAAACCAGCTGGTGTTTGCAGGGCAAAGGGAATGGCTGGGTCGGTAGGTCACAGAGGTAGGATGGGGAGGTGAAGGTAAATGATGGAAGTAGAGGAGTTTCTCACTGGAGAAAGAGAGCGTTTCTGTGAGGAAACTGCATGACATGTCACTTGGTGTCTGTCCTCGGTCCCCTCCGTGATGGCCGAGGAAGGCTCCGATTGTCTGTCCTGACAGTGAACCACAAAATGCTGCCCTTACTTCTCTCTTACTCTTGTTGTTTTTCATCTCTCTCCCCTTCTCCCTCATGCTCCCTCTCAATCACTCCATCTCACCCCTTTCTCTCTCACAAACATTCTCATACTCTCTCTCTCAATTACTCTCTCAATCATTGTCCTCTCCCTGTCTCTGTCAATCATTCTCTCAATCACTCTCTCCACCTCTTTCTCTCAATCAGCAGTGCAGGTCACTATCCACAGTGGTAGGAGCCAGCGGTTGGTAAGGACATGGTGGATAAGGAGACCGAGTTGTCTGTCAGGAAACCCCTCCCTCAGCTCGACATCGATATGAAATTGGCTGGGAGACAGAATGCATTATTGTATCCTCCCAATTGCCATCTCCTGCGCTGTCATGATAGAATGCTTCACTAGGGAGGGAGGGAACGGGTGGCCTAAAACTGTAAATAGTCTTGGGCTGGATGAAATTATCCACCTTGTCACCTGCTGGACCACACTGCTCTTGAAAGCTGTCCACCCTATTCCAAATCCCTGCTCTTTAACCATTTCCCTGCTGCCCTCTGTATGTGCCTGTCCAATTCTTTTTTAAATGCCCACAATGGTCTCTGCTCTAACAGCCCTACTTCTGGTAAATTACTCCATATGCTCCACTCTGGGAAGCATTGTTGTTCAGAACCTCTCCCTTTATATGTTTGTCTGGGGAGGACAGGATTGGGATAGACTGTGATGCTAGACTGTCTAGGCTCTTACACTCGATGTCTGTCTGTGTTCCTGCATAAATAATGTTCACTTGAGCAAGATTCCAGAGGGTGTCTGCAATGTCGTAGCTCCAATGGATTGAGAAGGAGCAGAACAGTTTCAAGATAGGAGCGAGGGATGGTGGGTGGCAGGGAGGAAGGAAAGAGTGCAACTTACCACAGAAACATTAAGGCTTCCCATTCCGGACACGCTACCCGCTGAGCAGGTCGCAAATCCAAGTTGACAAGCGTCGACAATGTTTTTAAGGACTTCAGGATCTGTTGAGTACTTCACATCACTCAGGCCTTTTCCCCAGGCTGACGAACAGACCAGCCACAGAAAGGCAAAGATCACCGTCACAACAAAGTCCTACAGAATAATTATGAGAAATTAAGTGTCAGTCGAAAAATCCACACAGCTCAAGTTAAAAACGTAGATACTGTATTCCCCACACCATCTGTCTCGCTCACCTACTCGGTGTAAGAAAAGTAGGCGAGGTAGTGACCAGCGAGGGTTCTAGGCCACGGGTGAGGTAGTGACCAGCGAGGGTTCTAGGCCACGGGTGAGGTAGTGACCAGCGAGGGTTCTAGGCCACGGGTGAGGTAGTGACCAGCGAGGGTTCTAGGCCAAGGGTGAGGTAGTGACCAGCGAGGGTTCTAGGCCACGGGTGAGGTAGTGACCGGCGAGGAGCCGAGGGTTTGGTGCATTCAGACGAAGAGTTTTCCAGGCGCCAAACCAACATTTTCAAAATCTCCCGCCTGGACTAACGGCCCAAAACCTCCTGCATGACGTCACAACACTCCCCCCACACACATTCCCCCGTGTACACACACACCTCCCACCCACACACAACACCCCACCCACAACCCCCACAGCACTCCCTCACACACAACATTTCCCACCTCCCGCGTACACACAACACCCCCCGGCGTGCACACAACACCCCCGGCGTGCACACAACACCCCCCGGCGTGCACACAACACCCCCCGGCGTGCACACAACACCCCCCCGCGTGCACACAACAGCCCCCCGCGTGCACACAACAGCCCCCGCGTGCACACAACAGCCCCCCGCGTGCACACAACAGCCCCCCGCGTGCACACAACAGCCCCCCGCGTGCACACAACAGCCCCCCGCGTGCACACAATGCTCCCCCCGTGCGCACAGCACAACCCACGCACAGCACAACCCACGCACAGCACAACCCACGCACAGCACAACCCACGCACAGCACAATACTCCCCCACACACAACCCTGCCCCCACGCACACAACATCCCTCCGCGCACAGCACTCCCCCATACACACCGCTCCTGCGCACACATCCCCCACTGCGCGCACCATAAGAGGTAGGAACAGGAGTAGGCCATTCGAGCCTGCCCCACCATTTAATAAGATCATGGCTGATCTAACTTAATTCCATTTACCCACCCTATCCCTATATCCCTTAATCCTTCTATCCTTTAGAAACCTATCAACCTCAGTCTTGAATATGTTCAAGAGCATTCACAGGCTTCTGGGGTTGAGAATTCCACAAATTCACTACCCTCTGAGTGAACACCATACCCTCGCACCCACACGCAACAACCCTGCCCACACGCAACACCCGCCCACACGCAACACCCCCGCCCACACGCAACACCCCTGCCCACACGCAATACCCCACTCACACAAGAAGCCAAATACACCATATCCCCACGCATCCTCCCCCCACATACACACAACATACACTCTAAGCAGTCAGCTGTCCTTATATACACTCTTTGAGCATTTCTCTATCCTATTAAGACATTAACCCCCACACACACATCACACCCACTTAGATGCGGATATGCAATCACTTCAATGGGTTTTCACCTGGGCTAATAGAAAAGTGCAGGAAATGTGCTACAAACCGTAGTGTGCTAGGCCCCGCTACAGACCTGCCGATCCATGCTTTCATTACAGTTGGCTTAACTATGCCAACTGCCTGCTCGCTTGACTTCCCAACTCTTCCCTCCACAAGCTGCAGATCATTCTCTAGAACTCTGCAGTCTGTGTCCTCTCCTGCACCAGGCTCAGCAAACTGATCCCCGTTTTTGCCCAACTTCATTGGCTCCTCATCTCTCAGAGAATCAAGTACATTCCCACATTTTCACCTTCAAAGCTCTCCGTGGTCTTACGTCGCCCTCCCCTCTCTGACCTCCTAACCCCATTGGCAGTTAGGCACTCTGCATCTCTGCCACACTCTGTCCCACAATCCCTCCGCCTCACACCCTCTCCTACCTCCAATTCCCGTCTAAAAGACCTTCCTCTTCGACCGTGCCTTCAGCTACTCTCCCACTCCTACTCCCATGTCGTCCAACACCCCCTGACCCCAGATCGGGTCCAAAACAACCCTGACTTTCCAGTGCTTTGGGATGCCTTTCCGACATGAAGGGCGCTATACAAAGTGTAATTTATTATTGTTATAGTACACACTGTGTGCTAGACCCCAGGCCTCTCGTGTTGTTTGCTTGACACTGCTACTGTGGGCGGAGTGGCTCCGGTTGCGGATGCTCGGTGCGAGGAATGTTAGCTCCGCTGTGTTACCCACAACCCATTTATTGATCACTGATTAAGGGGCCGCCGAGGAAGAAGGAATCGACAACTTAAACATAAGAAATGCTCGACCAAAAAAAGGCCAAGGTCCATCTAGTTCGTCTTCTACCCTCCTGGCGGTTGCATGCACATATGTCCTGAATTAACCTATGTACCTATGTACTATATCCCATAATGTTATTTCCCTAAAGATAACTATGTTTGAAGGAATAAACATTTCCTGCTTCCACCATCTCCCTAGGGAGCCTGTTCCACAGGTTTACTATTCGCTCGCTGAAATAGTATTTCCGCAGATTCGTTACGGAATTTATCTGCCTTCAATCACAGGTTGTGTCCTCTGGTTTTACTATTCTGGACTAGTTGAAACAACCTGTCCTGATCTACATCGTCTTGCCCCTTTAAAACGTTAAAGACAGCAATCATGTCGCCTCTCAATCTTCTCTTTTCCAGCATGAACATACCCAATTTACTTAGTCACTCCTCATAGTCCAGTCCCTTTATTCGCTCAATCGTTCTGGTTTGCCCTCTTCTGTATCCTCTTGATTTCTCCATATCCTTTTTGTACTACAGCGACCAGAATGTACACAATACCCTAAGTACGGTCTCACCAATGATTTGTATGGTGGCAGGATTACCCCACTATTTCGGCTTGCTTTCAGGATGAGATTGATGGGGAAACATCTCATGTCCAATTGTGGACTAGACACAATGACAGAAAGTGATGTGTCCCAAGAGGAAAGAATGGACCATGTTAACTACAACTATTTAATATTGTGCATAGCAATGTTCCACAACAGTCATGAAGTGAATGACTGATTTACCTGGAGGATTGTCCGTCAGGACACCGGAAGAAACACCCTTCCCTTCTTCAAATAGCAATGCAGGATCTTTAATGTCCAACTGAACAGGCACAGACAGGACCTAGTTTAATGTCTCATCTGAAGGACGGCACCAGTACTGCACTGGAGTGTCAGCTTAAGACCGTGAGCTTAAAGTCCCCGATGTGGAGTTTGAGCCATTGTATGACCTAAGACTAGGGCTCATTTTAACTCAAAATGAGGTTAACCTCTATATGAAACCCATAAAAAAACTTTAATACCCTTCGAACCACACAATGTGGACACTTAACATTAAATTGTTAACACTAAGCATGTCTGGTGCCCGCTGATTTACCAAAACATTTTAGAATAAAATGAACAATGCAAAGATGTTAAGTCAACAATGCCTTGAATGACGATGTTAAGGTTGTTCCCAAACAATTAGTCACAAAAAGAGCCAAACGGAAGGCAGAAAAAAAATCTACAGATTGTGGTGGGAATGCAGAATTCTTGTCACAAACCATAACTGAGATAAATGCTTTTAAAAGGGAATTAGATAACAGAGGTAATCTTATATCTGATACAATGCTTTATCATGTCCTAAAAACGTCTCAAAGCATTCACAAGATTTGAATGACTGTATTTGTAGGCAAATCCAACAGCTAAATTTTCACACAGCAATGTTCCACAACAGCCATGAAGTGAGTGACCAATTTTATCTGAGGAACTGTCAGCTTGGAACCAGGAGAAACTCCCTTCTCTTTTTGACCGTTCCTTCAGCTCCCCTCTCGACTCTCTTCCCCCTCCTCGCTCCCTCCCTTCCCTCCCCTCACCCTGACCATTTCCCCCCTCCTTGCTCCCTCCCTTCCCTCCCCTCACCCTGACCATTTCCCCCCTGCTCGGGTCATGACCCAACTGTGCAGCGCCTTGGGACGTCCTCCTGACGTGAAAGGCGCTTTATAAATGGAATCTTGTTGTTGTTGTTGAATAGTGCCATGGGATATTTAACGTTCTCTTTAATAGGCACAGACAAGACTTTGGTTTAATGTTTCATCTGAAGGATGCGTCTCCAACAATACATTGCACTGGAGCATCAGCCTCAAAACGGGCTTGACACCACAACCTTCAGATTTGGAGATGTTAGCAAAGTGCGACAATATGAGATCTCCTGTCAAATGAAGGTGTATGCAGGGGGCAAACGGAGTGAGCAGGAGAGTGGGATTAGATTTGGGCGTCTCATGTGGAGAAAAATAGCGGTGCGATTCTGTTGGGGCGAACAGTCTGTTTCTAGTCTGGAACAATCTATGATATTATACAACAACAAATTACATTTGTATAGCCCACTTGCTGTTCAAGAGAAACAAAGTTGACCACCAGGGTTTATGAAACGTTACATGACTTACCAATGCTCACAACCATCCTTTGTGGGCAGCAGGGAATAAAAAGGAAACTTGATTTTAGTTTTGTGATGCTCTGACCAGCATACTGACAGTACAATGTTACTTTATATCAGGGTGGTCCAATCTTTTGTCTGCTGGGATCTGGATTCCTTATTTGAGAAAGGTCCGCGAGCCGAATTAGCAATATTTATAACATTTACACAGTACCTTTGCAGGATATCTCAAAGCGGTCGACACTGTCGGTTGGACACCTGAGCTGGGGGTGAGAGCTGAGGGAGATGTGATGGGAGTGGAAAAGAGGACCGAAAGCACTGTTAAAGAGTGAGATCTTGACATGCCTAGCAAGACGGGAAGGAGGGAGGGAAGTCGGAGAGTCTCCAGGAATGGAACTCCAGAGAGCTGAGGCAAAATGGGACAGATGGGGGATATGAAGCTGGTTGCTTTTCAAAGCGAATGGCCAGGTCCGGAGGTGGCAGAGGTAGGGTGGGGAGGGGGGAATGAAGGACGTAGAGGAGTTTGTCACTGGGGAAAGTGGGGGGTTTCTGTGAGGAAACTGCATGGCTCTCTTCCCTCTCACACTCTCTCTTTGACCCCCCCACCCCCTTTTAATCACTCTTTCTCCCTCTCCCAATTAGGATGAAATGCATTAGTCATAATTTTCAAAGGTCTCTATTTGGGAACTGTGCCCTTGGATTGGAAAATTGCAAATATCACTCCATTATTTAAGAAGGGAGAGAGGGAGAAACCAGGTAACTACAGACCCGTCTTAATTTCAGTTGTGGGCAAGTTACTGGAATCTCTCACCATGGACAGAATGACTGAGTACTTGGACACGTATGAGCTAATCAAAGAGAGTCAGCATGGATTTGTGAAGGGTAGATAATAGAATCATGGAATTATACAGAACAGGAGGACATTTGACCCGTCATGTCTTTGCCGGCTCTTTGAAAAGAGCTATCCAATTCAATCCCACTTTCCCGCGCTCTCCCCATAGCTCTGCAAACTTGTCCTCCCCAAATAATTATCTACTTCTCTTAAATGTTGTTATCGAATAGCTCCCACCACCATTTCAGGCAATGCCTTCCGGATCCAAACAACTCACTGTGTAAAAAAAATTCTCCTTACCTCTGTTTTTTTTAAACAACTATTTTAAATTGGTGTCCTCGGGTTACTGACCCACCCGCCAGTGGAAATAATTTCTCCTTGTCCGCCCTATCGAATCCCCTCATAATTTTGAAAACTTCTATAAAGTCTCCTCTTCACCTTCTTTACTCCAAGGAGAATAATCCTAGCTTCTTTAGCCTCTCCTGATAACTGAAGTTCCTCATTCCTGGTACTTTCCTGGGATCATGGGATCATAGAATTACGCAGCACAGAAGACGGTCATTCGGCCCATTGTGTCCCTGCCGGCTCTTTTAAAGAGCTGTCCAAATTAATTGAACTCCCCAGGGCTCTTCCCATAGCCCTGCAAATTTGTCGCCCCAAATATCTATCTACTTCTCTCTTGAAAGTTGTTACCGAATCGGCTTCCACCACCCTTTTAGGTAATGCATTACAGATCCGAACAATTTGCTGTGTGAAAAACATTCTCTGGTTCTTTTGGCAACTATTTTAAATCTGTGTCCTCTGGTTACCCACCCACCAGTGGAAACAGTTTCTCCCTGTTCACCCTACTGAATCCCCTCATCATTTTGAACGCTTCTATTAAATCTCCCCATAACTGTCTCTGCTCCGAGGAGAATAATCCTTGCTTTTCTCGTCTCTTCTTATCATTGAAGTACCTAATTTCTGGTACCATCCTGGTAAATCTTCTTTTGCACCCTCTCCAAGGCCTTGACATCCTTCCTAAAACGTGTTGCACAGAACTGAACACAGTACTACAGCTGAGGCCCAACCAGCATTTTATAAATGTTCATCATGGTGCCAGAGGTCTATCCTATATTTTTTTTTACCAGCTTTATCTACCTGCCCTGCCACCTTCGAAGATTTGCTTATATGGACCCTCAGGTCTCTCTGTTCCTGCACCCCCTTTAAGATTGTATCATCTTGCCTCTCCTCATTCTTTCTCCCCAAATCACTTTGCATTTCTCCACATTAAACTTCATCTGCCACGTGTCTGCCCATTTTACCAGTCTGTCTATGTACCCTCCTCATTGTTTACTACTTTTCCTAGCTTAGTATCATCTGCAAACTTGGAAATTGTACCCCCTATACCCAAGTCCAGGTAATTTATATAGTGGTCCTAATACCGACTCGTGGGGGACACGACCATATACTTTTCTCCAGTCAGAAAAACAACTGTTCTTTCTACTCTCTGCTTTCTGTTCCCCCCGCCAATTTTGTATCCATGCTGCCACTGTCCCTTTAATTCTGTGGGGTTCAATTTTTCTGACGAGTCTATTGTGGCACTTTATCAAAAGACTTTTGAAAATTCATATATGCTACATAACTGCACTACCCTCATCCACCCTCTTCATTACTTCATCAAAAGTATCAGGTTTGTTAGACATGATTTGCCTTTAACAAATCTGTGTTGGCGGTCCTTTATTAACCCATATTTTTCTAAGTGAAAATTTATTTTGTCCTGGATTATCATCTCTTGGAAGTTTCACCACTACTGACATTATGCTGACTGGCCTGTAATTCTTGGGTCTATCCTTCTCCCACTTTTTGTACTGGGGAGTAACATTTACAACCCTCCAGTCCTCTGGCACCACTTCGCTATCCAAGAATTGAAAGATTGTGGCCAGAACCTCCGTTATTTCCACCCCTACTTCTCTCAGTAAGGATGCACCCATCTGGACTGGGTGACTTAAGCACCGTCAACCTTTTTAGTATCTCCAATCTGCTTATTTTTATCCTATCCAATTTCTCTGCCCTTTTCTCCGATACCTTGACATTAGCTGTATCCTCTTCTTTTGCGAAGACAGATGCAAAGCACTCATTCAGTACGTCAGCCATGCCATGCATTTGGTCCCTAATCGGCCCCACCCTACCTTTGACAAACCTTTCATTCTTTATATGCTTATAAAATACTTTAGGGTTCCCTTTTATATTACCGCTAATCTTTTTTCATGCAATATCTTTGCCCCTCTTATTTGATTTTTTACTTCTCCTCCGTACTTTCTATATTCTGTTTGATTATCTTCTATATTTGGACCTGACATTTATCATAAACTTCCTTTTTCTGTTTCATTTTAATCCTGATTTCCTTCATCATCCATTGAGCTTTGGATGCCCTATCTTTCCCCTTTGTGGAATGTATTCGTCTTGCCTGAATTATCTCCTCCTTGTTTGTTAGCCATTTTACCAACCAATCTTCCTTTCCAGTTTCTTTTCAATTCACTGAAATTAGCCCTCTTCCACTAGAGTATCTTCACTTTTGATTGTTCCTTGTCCCTTTCCAGAACTACCCTAAAGCTAATGATGTTGTAATCACTGTTATCCAGATGCTCGCCCACAGTTGGCCTTTATTTCAAGGGGGCTGGAATATAAAGGAGATGTTTCAACTGTATGGACCCTTGGTCAGACCCCATCTGGAGTACTGCATTCAATTTTGGGCACCGCATCTCAGGAAGGATATTTTGACTCTGGAGTGGGTGCAGCGCAGCTTCACCAGAATGATACCAGGGCTTAAAGGGTTAAATTATGAAGACAGGTTGCATACACTTGGTCTCTATTCCCTTGCGTTTTAATCCAATTGAGGTTTTTGAAATAATAAAGGGATTCGATAGGTAGATACAGGGAAACTATTTTAGCCATGATCTTATAGAATGGCGGAAACAGCTCAAGGGGCTGAATGACCCACTACTATTTCTATGTTTCTAATTACTCTTATTACCCTTCTCTCCCACACACTCTCTCTATCCACTCTCACACTCTCTCAATCACTTTCTCTCCTCACTGTTTCTTTCTCTCCTCTCCCTCATTCTCTCTCACCTCTCACTTACACACTCTCCCCCTCACACTCTCTTTCTCCCTCTCTCAATCATTCTCTCTCACATAGTCTCTCTCACCCCCTTTCATCTCTGTCAAACACACTATGTCCTCTCACACCCTCCCTCTCTCACACTCTCTCTTCTCTCAGTCAGTCTTTCTCTCTCCCTTTTTTCACCTCTGTCATACAAACTGTGTCCTTTCACACATACACACTCTCTCTCTCTCTGTCCTCACATTCTCCCAATCACACTCTCCCTCAATCCCTACTCTCTACCCCTTTTCTCCCCTCTCTCTCCCCCCCACCCATCATACAATCAGTTACTTGGTACACTATGTGCTATGGCAGGAGCCGGCAGTTGCTAACGACGCGGTGGATAAGGAGACGCGCTTGCATTCCTCTCAGCTCGGGTACAGACTGCAGCAAAGGCTGGTATTATTTCCTCTTCTCTGTGTCGTCCCAACTGCTGGCTTCTGCCACTGCCATGAAAGGACCTTCACCAAGGAGGGAGGGAGCGGAAGTTGGAATGTTGAAAAAGATCTTGGGCCAGATAAAATCTTTATAATAAAGCAGCATTTGTTATTGACTAAAGAACATTAAGATAAAAAAGCAGTATTATGCTGTGATGGGGGGATGGTAGGGTGGGTGTTCTGGAGGGATGAGATCAAATGCGATGGATTTGTCCAGACAAATCTTGTGATCTTGTTTTTTTCAGTCAGCTGAGTATTTGACACTCTGAAATTCATCACCATGCTTAAAGTCTTGAACTAGAACAGAGCTTGACATACATAACTACCACATGAAAATATCTGTTTCTGGAATGAAATGTGCACTCTCTCCCTTGAGGTAGGCATCCTGATTACTTAATTCCAGATAGTATTATGGGCTGGTTGGTGAGAGACAAGGCTTGAGGACCCTAGAATGTGTGTTGAAGTATTCGCTGAAGTTGTTAGTATAAGCTATTACAGAGCGTTATGTAACACTGTCAATGCAATATAACCATATAAGCAGTGGGTGGCTAACCCCTAAATCTAGCTACCTGGGAGGCTCGAGGGCTGGGGGAGGCGACAATGGGAGGGGCGGGTAGGCAAGGGGAAGGGGGCGGGTGTGCATGTGCTCGGAAGTATGTGTGTATACATAGTGGGAAAAATAATCTGCGGGAAGCATCAACTCTTCAACTCCTTCCTGCCCGCCTGCCTGTACCTATATTACAATTGCCAGGTATTGATGAGACTCCTCTGTAACATCAATAACTTGCGTTTATACAGCACTTTCACACAGGTAACCATATAACCATATTAAGGCTCAAATCTTCTTAAAACTATTACTACTACCATGTCATGAAGGCGCTCAACTATAACGTAAGATTGTGTGAACAGGTTTTGTCCCTCTAGGGACAAAGTCATAAGCTTGCCTGTGTGGAAGGCTCTGTCTGGTTTGGGGACTCTGAAGCACAGTGATGGATTTCTACGTGGGTCACACACTTGGCTGATCTCAATTTCACACCTGAGATGCATTGAAAGACTCACAATTATTGGGCCGCGGTTGCCATCACGGTACACGTGCAGGTAGCCGACATACAGCACCAGGGCCGCCAGACAGTAGAGAAAGGCAAAGACTGCCACGGTGACAAAAAACTCTGCCGAGGATGACATATCTCCCGTCAGGTACGTGTTCATGGTTTGATTACATGTATTCTGTTGGACCAGGATAACCGTGTTTAACCTGAATATAGAAACAAAATTGACACTTAATACACTTCACTGTCACCAGAAATCTGAAAGGCACGAACCGCCAAAATAATTAACCAGAATGGTAGGAAATACCCTTTATACAGAGGGCAGTAGGAATGTGGAATTTTCTGCCAAAACTACAGTTGAGGCAAAGTCATCAAATTGTTTTAAAAAGAAATTAGACAGTCACTCAAAGAGGAGGAGAGAGGAGGAACAGGAGAGTGTATGAGATGGCTCCTGTGGAGACAAACACAGCAGAGATCTGATAAGTAGAATGGCTGGTTTCTGTGCTGGGACATCCTGTAATAATGCTGTCTGCTCAGCAGTCAGCTCTTGTACACTCAAGATAGTTGAACCTTTCATGTGTCACAGCCTCGCAGCGCTGACTGTCACTGATCATTGGCAGGGGATAAAATAGATACAGTAAAACTCACATATGTCGTATCAGTTGGGACCATAACATTTATTATGACTTACATGGAGTCTGAGTCGCAGGTAAACTGTAGAAATTGTAGAAAATCTGATTTAATCAATCAACAATGCAGATGCGTAATTTAATGCAGCTGGTAAGTGTAATTCATAATTACAGCTGGTAAGTTGGGATTCATGACATAGAGAAAAAAAAGGGCTGAGATCCTACATGTAGAGTATCAGAAGCTAGGGAAAAGGCTGAAGAGTAGGACCGCAAAGGTGGTGATTTCTGGATTACTCCCAGTGCCTTGTGCAAGTGAGTATCAAAACAGCAGGATCAAACACATGAATGCATGGCTGGAGAAATGGTGCAGAAAGGAGGGCTTCAGGTTGCTGGATCAATTGGGACCAGCTCTGCGGCAGGGGGGACCTGTACTAGGTGGATGGGTTACACCTGAACAGGACTGGGACCAAAGTCCTCGCAGGGAGGTTAACTGGTGCTTTGGGGAAGGGTTCAAACTAATTTCGAGGGTGGGAGGGGAAGGGAATCAGGTTGTAGCATCAGAGAGGAGAAACAAGTTTCATCGAGGGCTGGGAGTCACGAGTAGCAATGTAATAAGGAGTAGTCCAGAAGAAGGAGGGATAAGATGGAGGAGAAATGTCTTGGAGTGCATGTGCGTAAATGGATGGAGTGTGATAAATAAGACTGGTAAGGTGCAGACTCAAGTTGCCACATGATGTAGTGGCAATAACGGAGACCTGGTGCAAACAAGGGCAGGAATGCGAGCTGAATATAGATTCATAGAAGGAACCCATCGTGTCTGTGCCGGGTTTTTGGAAAAGAGCTACCCAAATCAATCCCACTCCCCCGCCCTCTCCCCATAGCCCTACAAGCTGGTCCTCCCCAATAATTATCTACTCTCTTAAAAGTTGTTTTTGAGTCGGCTTCCACCACCCTTTCAGGCAATGCATTCACGATCTGAACAACTTGCTATGTGAAAAAAATTGTCCTCATCTCCCCTCGGTTTCTTTCAACAAACTATTTTAAATCGGTGCCCTTGGGTTCCGGACCCACCCACCATGGAAATAGTTTCTCTTTGTTCACCCTATCAAATCTCCTCATAATTTTGAAAACTTTAGGACAGGCAACACAGATTTCTCATAGGCAAATCGTGTCTAACAAACCTGATAGGGTTTTTTGATGACGTAACGGAGAGGGTGGATGAAGGTAGCGCAGTTGATGTAGTTCAAAAGGCATTTAATAAAGTGCCACATAAGAGATTTGTAAGCAAAATAGAAGCCCTCGGTATTAAAGGGACAGTGGCAACATAGATACAGAACTGGCTGGGAGACAGAAAGCAGAGAGTGGTGGTGAGCGGTTATTTTTCGATTGAAGGGAATTGTACTGTGGTGCCCCCCAGGAGTTGGTATTGGGACCACTGCCGCAATCACCAGCTTTCTCCCCATAATCCTGCAAACCCGTCTTCCCCAGATTCCTATCCAGTTCTCTCTTAAAAGCTGTTATCAAATCGGACTTCACTGCCCTTTCAGGCAGATCATTCCAAATTCGAAAAATTCGCTGAGCGAAAAAAATTCTTCTAACCCCCCGCTTTGCTCCTTTTGGCAGATATCTTAAGACTGTGATCACGGGTCACAGACACACCTACCAGCAGAAACAGCATTTCCCTATCTAGTCTGTCGAAACCTTTCATGATCTTGAAGACCTCTATCAGGTCCCCGCGTAACCTTCTCTGCTCTAATGGGAAAAGTCCTAACTTCTCCAGCCTGTCCTCATAGCTAAGGTTCCCCATTCCTGGTATCATTCTCGTGAATCTCCTCTGCACCCTTTCCAGTGCCTTAATGTCCTTCCTGAAGTAAGGTGCCCAGAACTGGACGCAGTACTCCAGCTGAGGCCTAACCAGTGTTTTGTATAGATTAACCATAACTTCCCTACTCTTATACTCTATGCCCCTACTAATAAAGCTCAGTACACCAAATGCCTTTTTTACTGCCTTATCTACCTGCCCCGCTACCTTTAATGATTCGCTTACTTGAACACCCAGAACTTTCTGTACATTCACCCCACTTAAGATTGAGCTACCAAGTCTATATCGCCTCCTATCATTTTTCATACCTACGTGTATCACCTCACACTTATCCACATTGAAATCCATTTGCCACATGTCAGCCCATTCCACCATTCTGTGTATGTCTGCTTGCAGTTGGTTACAGTCTTCCTCATTATTTACTACCCTACCTAACTTTGTATCATCTGCAAACTTGGAAATAGTGCTCTCTATGCCCAAGTCCAGATCATTAATATTAGAAAGAGCAGTGGTCCTAATACCGACACCGCTGCACAACTCCTTCCATTTCGAGAAACACCCATTAACCACCACCCTCTGCATTCTGTCACTCAGTCACTTAATCCAAACTGCCACTGTCCCCTTAATACCGTGGGCCTCTAANTTTTTTTATTAATCTCTTATGCGGTACTGTGTCAAAAGCCTTTTTGAAATCCATGTAAATAACGTCCACCGCATTTCCCTCATCAACCCTCGCAGTCACCTCTTCAAAAAATTCTATTAGATTTGTTAGGCAAGATTTGCCTTTAACAAATCCATGTTGGCTGTCTCTAATTACCTCATGTTCCTCTAAGTAGAGATTTATTCTGTCCCGGATTATGGTCTCCAGTAGTTTTCCTATTACCGAAGTTAGGCTGACTGGCCTGTAATTTCCGGGTTTGTCTTTCTGCCCCTTTTTGTAGAGGGGGTAACATTAGCCACTCTCCAGTCTCTTGGCACCACTCCTGTGTCCAATGAAGATTGAAATATAATGGCCAAAGCCTCCGCTATTTGAACCCGTATCTCCCACAGCAACCTTGGGTGAAACCCATCTGGTCCTGGTGACTTATCAATTTTGAGCCCAGTCAATCTTTTCAGAACTTCCTCTCTGTCTATAGTAATCTGATCTATTTCCTCTACCCTCTCATCCAATACTGCGGCATTTGGGGCATCCATTTCCGTTGTGAAGACAGATGCAAAGTACTCGTTCAGTACATCAGCCATGCCCTCTGCCTCCACAACAAGATTGCCGTCATTGTCTTTGATTGGCCCCACCCTACCTTTAACTAACCTTTTTTCCTTTATGTGCTTGTAAAATATTTTAGGATTCCCCTTTATGTTACCCGCTAACCTCTTCTCATGCGATCTTTTAGCCTGTCTTATCACTCTTTTAAGATCACTCCTGCATTCTCTATAATGTGCTTTGCTATCCTCAGTATCATGCGTCTTCCAATTGTTGTACGCCGTCTTCTTTTTCATCCAAGACAGAATATCCCTGGTCATCCAGGCTGGCTTGGTTGTCACACATTTCCCTTTTGTGGGAATATATCTATTTAGACCTTGAGCTATCATATCTTTGAAGATCTCCCATTGCTCATGAGTCGTTTTACCTGCTAGTCTTACTTGCCAGTCCACCAACTCTAGGTCCCTTTTTAGCCCATCAAAATTAGCCTTTTTCCAGTCAAGCATTTTCACCTTTGACTGTGCTTTGTCGCTGTTCATGAGTAATCTAAATCTAATAATATTATGGTCACTGTTACCTAGATGCTCCCCTACCGAAACCTGTTCAACCTGACCTATTTCATTCCCCAGGACTAGATCCAGCAATGCTTCCTTCCTCGTAGGACTGGAGACATACTGCTCAAGAAAATTTTCCTGTACACAGTTTATGAATCTTTCTCCTGCCTTGCCCTTAGCGCTGCTATTTTGCCAGTCTATATTGGGATAATTGAAATCCCCCATTATCACAACTCTGTTCGCCTTACATCTGTCCGTGATCTGGTTGCAGATCTGCTCCTCTATCTCCTTCCCGCTGTCTGGTGGTCTATAGTAAACCCCTATCAGTGTAACCACTCCTTTCTTATTTCTTATCTCTAACCAGATGGATTCTGTTGTCGGGCCCTCCAGAGCCTCGTTCCTTTCTAATTGTATCCTTAACTAATACTGCCACCCCTCCTCCTTTTCTTTCTTCTCTATCCTTCCTGAACACATAATATCCTGGAATATTTAACTCCCATTCCTGTCCTGGCTTGAGCCATGTCTCGGTTACTGCCACCACATCGTAAACCCTTCCGCCAGTTGAACCTGCAGCTCATCAACCTTATTCCCTAAGCTACGTGCATTTAGGTACATGCATTTGAGGAAATTGTCCGCTTGTACCTGCTCTACACTTCCCACTTGTCTTTTTCCTCTAATCTCTAATCCATTGTTTATCCTTGGATACCCATCCCCCCTCGACACTGGTTTAAATCAGCCCCTACAGCATTTGGTAATCTCTTGGCAAGGAAGCTCACCCCTGCCTTGCTTAAGTGCCGCCCATCCTCAAGTTAAAGATCCCACCTCCCCCAGTAGTGGTCCCAATTGTCCAGAAAAAGGAAACCTTCTTTTCCGGACCATTTCTCCAGTTAATCGTTCAAGCACCTGATCCTTTCATTATGGTGCCTTGTTGCCTGAGGTACCCGGAGTAACCCAGAGATCACCACCTTGGATGTTCTGGACTTGAATTTGCTCCCCAGCTTTTGATACTCGCTCTGGAGCATCTCAGCCCTCTTCTTACCAATATCGTGGATCCCCACATGGACCACGACTTCTGGATATTCTCCTTCTCCCCGAAGAATCTTGTCCATGCGCTCTGTGAAGTCTACTACCCTTGCACCAGGAAGGCAGCAAACCATCCTAGCCTCACGATTCTGATTACAGAAGATCCTGTCAGTGCCTCTTACATTTGCATCCCCTATCACAACTGTATTGCCCTTGTGAACCATGCCCTTGTCCTGTTGGACAGAATGTCCACTGCTGTACTCACGAGAGGCTTTCACGCTCTCGATAGCTAATGTTGAGTACCGATTAGAGACTGGTACTCTGTTGGGGGTGCTCTGCCTTGAACAAGCCCTCTTCTTGCCCCGTCGCACTGTCACCCAATCACTTTTAGCATGAATGAAGGGTGGCTGTGTGTGGGCTCCTCTGGGAGTGGTCCTTTTCTTGAACTCTGGCCTCCCGATAGCTCCAGTACCCCTCTCTCATGGCTCCTATACAGCGATAGGCTGCTATAACTGAGTCCTAGGGGAGTGAGGGTCTCCTCCACCATATGGGATACTAGGCTTTATAAATAAGGGCATAGAATACAAAAGTCAGGAAGTTATGATGAATCTTTATAAAACGTTGGTTAGGCCTCAGCTAGTGTACTGTGTTCAGTTCCGTACACCACACTTTAGCAAGGATGTCAAAGCATTGGAAAGGGTGCAAAGGAAATTTACCAGGATGGTACCAGGAATGAGGGCCTTCAGTTATCAGGAGGCTAGAGAAGCAAGGATTATGCTCCTTGGAGTAGAGAAGGTTAAGAGGAGACTTAATAGAAGTTTTCAAAATTATGAGGGGAATTTGATAGGGTGAACAAGGAGAAACTATAGATAATTATTTGGGGAGGACAAGTTTGCAGGAATATGGGGAAAGAGCCGGAGAGTGGGATTGATTTAGATAGCTCTTTTCAAGAGCCGGCACAGACATGATAGGCCGAATGGCCTCCTTCTGTCTGTATAATTCTATGAAGTACAGTGTCGGGTTAAGACGACATTTCCCGTGATCCAATCACAAGAACACTTACTGGGAAACGTTGGAATCGCATTGAATCGCGGGGAATGAAGTTCTTCTGCGTATGCGTTGACAGATGTAGACTACGTTTCCCGTGATTCAATGCAGCCTAAAGCACATATGTCGATGGGTCAGGATGTCATTTCCCACGATTCAAGCGCAGGAGTAACTGATGGAGGGTAGGGGAGAGGTGTTAGGAGGTAAGTAATTTGAAATTTGAGTGTTTTTGATAGTAAACTGAATGGGACGCGGGTGAATATATGACTTGGGCGTTTTTATAATTTATAAAGATAAGACTTACGTGAGTTATACCGTACTATAATGGAGACAAACATGGAGTTTTTGAAAGAAAAGTTGAAAGGATGGGAGGATAGAAGTACTGAAAAGGTGATGGATTTCAGACCTGCACAGGCTAGGTACTTGGCAGAAACAGGCCAAATTTCTCTGAATGTCACAAATATTTTATACCGTAGTTCAGAGAAATCTGAAGATTCTGCATAATTCAACCCCTGCTGTCTCCACACTGATTGAGTGGGGTGAGGGGGAAGAGAAGGGGGCAGGAGAGCAGAGAAAAGGGGGCAGGGGAGCGGAGAAAAGGGGGCAGGGGAGCGGAGAAAAGGGGGCAGGGGAGCGGAGAAAAGGGGGCAGGGGAGCGGAGAAAAGGGGGCAGGGGAGCGGAGAAAAGGGGGCAGGGGAGCGGAGAAAAGGGGGCAGGGGAGCGGAGAAAAGGGGGCAGGGGAGCGGAGAAAAGTGTTGGAGAAAATGGGTGTTCGCTCTCCTAACACTTAACGCAGTCCAAAGGCACGTACCTGAATGGATAATGGAAGGCAGCAGAATATGTCACAGTGTTGTTGCTGGCTTTGCAGCGCATGCTGACTGCCGTCTCCCCACTGAATCTCCCGCATGTTGCAAATCCAAAAATTGCAAATATCTGGATTTAAATTGAAAGAGGGAAGAGGGAAAGAGGAACTCATCAGGTGATAGAGATAAATTTGATAACGGTTTCAAAAAGGCTTATTTTTCTGCAAACCACTGACTCTTAATCCTTTGTTATCTTTTTAAACACTAAACACTCCATCTAAATGCAGCAGTGTTATTGTAAAGACGTTCATACAGAAGAAGGAATGTTGTTGCTGCAAGTCAGTTCCCGGCCCCCCCTCTGCGCCCGACCCCCCCACTCTGCCCCCAGCCCCCACCTGCCCTCTGACCCTTCTGTCCCTGGCCCCCCACCCCCTCGCCCACAGACCCCCTCTGCCCCTGGCTTCCTCCCTGCCCCCGGCCTCAAATTACCGGCCCCATCTCCAATCTCCCTTTCCTTTCCAAGCACAGAAACAGCCCTGGTCAAAGTGACAAATGCATTCTGTCCATCTGCGACCAGGGCTCCCTCTGTCTTTTGAGTGTTTCAGATCCTATCTGTCACACCGTTTCCACTTTGTCTCCACAAATGGCTTCTCCTCCAGCCCCTGCACCATCTCGTGGGGCGTTCCTCAGAGTTGTCCTTAGCCTTCTCCTCTTCAACTTGTATTTGCTCCCTCGGTGACATTATCCGCAGACATGGAGTCAACTTCCACATGTATGCGGATGACACCCAACTCTGTCTCCACCCTTGATTCCAGGACCACTGCTATCCTAACAGAATGTTTGTCAGGCATCAATTCCTGGATGAGAGCTAACTTTCTCCAGTTGAATGTCAACAAGACCGAGACCCTCCTGATTGGCTCTCGTCAACGTCTCCACACCTCAGGCGCTGACAGCATCACCACCTCACTGAGTAAGTCTGGAACCCTGGCGTCTTGTTTGACCCTCAACTGTCCTTTCTATCCCACATCTATGCTATCACCTGCTCTGCCTTCTTTCACCTCCACAACATCGCCCGGCTTTGCCACTACCTCACCCCTCAGGCTGCCGAAACTCTCATGCACGCCTTGGGATGTCCCCCTGACCTGAAAGGCTCTACACATATGTAATTTGTTGTTGTTCATCACATCTAGGCTCAACTCTCTGCTTGTCGGCATTTCCAACTCTTCCCTCCGCAAGCTGCAAGATCATTGAGAACTCTGCAGCTCATGTCCTCTCCCACATCAGACCCTAACACCCACACCCTCGCCTGGCTCCACTGGCTCCCCATCCCCTAAAGGACAGAGTTCAAAATCCTCATCCTCGCCTTGCCCCTTCCTGCATGCGTGTTTTGGCTTCAGCCCCAACCCAAACCGCTCCCCTGAAAATGTTTGTGTTCCTACCCCCACTATCCGTTACTCCCATTCTGTCTTTCTCTCCCACCACCCTCCTCGCCTTCTCTCTCTCCTGGACCACACTATTACCTCCCTCTGCTGCAGCCTGGACATCATCCGCCAGGCCCATCGTGGGTCCTGATGTTGGTTGTCTCAGAGTAGCCACCCCAACTGTCCCATTGCTCACCTTCTTCACACCAACCGCCTCCAAAAGGCAAACACCCCTTCCCCCCTTCTCATACATACCTTACTCAACTCTCCCTGTTCCTCAAACTCCACAGTAATTTCTCCCCCATGACCCCAAATCCTCTCTATACCACTCTCTCCTCCACGCCCCCCACCAGCTGCCACAGTCACCCCTTTTGTTTTCTATGCCTGGCTGTTGTTTAAATATATTGAGTAGTGCTTTAAAAACATTTTAAATGTATTTAATGTTTTTGATATTTATGGTGCCATCAAGTCTGACTTTAGCGTTGATTGCAACAATTTGGTGGGTAACTTACTATTCTAATATGCAAATAAAGGATTGGAAGTGTACTTGTCCCCTGTTGGGCAACTGAGGGGAGGATTTGATTGAACCATAAGGAAGGCACCGATTACATCAAGTGATTGGTGCCATACAGTTACCATTTGGTACCCTAATTTGGGGAGGGGCCCGATGCCCATAAAAAAAACGAGTACAATATGCTCGTGGTCGCTATTTTTCTACCTGATGACAACAACGGTATGTGTCCTGAATATTAATGAGTAGTAGTCAGAGGTTGGTTCTTTGTGCACTTTACATTAACTTCATTGCAAGTGGCTACTAGTGTGTGTAGTTTAATTGGGATTAATGTCTGTTATCTCATAGTTGTGTTTGTTGATATTTATCATGTTGTTTAAGATTTAATGCTGAGGATTGTGGATTTCATTGAAGCTACAATAAAATTCTGTTGTACTAACTTAAATGTGCTTTAAATCGAGCTTTCTGTATAAATCAAAGAAGGAGGGAATACACGAACAGGTCCAGCCTAGGTCACAAAGGTACCTCTGATTGACTGAAGCTTCCCAGTTTGCTTTAAATAGTAATTGGTAGTACCTGTCATTGTGGAAGAACTCATCAGTCAAGTTACACCTAGTTATAGGGACATGCATTCATTAGTGAGGATTGAACACAGAGGCAGGCCACTCAGTACGTAAAAGGGTGACAGAACCGTCTCACAGCAAACCTATCCACATTTCCCTCCAAAATGTCCGCTCCCTCTCCAATAAAGACCTTACTATCAACAACCTCATCGTGGATAAGCACATTGATATTCTTGGGTTCATGGAAATCTGATCCTGTCCTCTCGTTGAAACCTCCCCTCCTGGCTACACTTTTCACCTCACCAACCAAGCTCATTTCCCAAGCTTTCCTTGGCTTATCCTCTGGCTATTTCTCCTGAGTACCTCAACCTCTACCATCCCTCCTATCTCTCGCTCAAAATTCTCCTGGTTTACCACCTCTTCAAACCTCCTGGCTCCTTCCTCACTGATATCTCAGCTCTCTTCTCATCTCTGTCCCTCTGCACTGATCACATGCTCATAATGGGTGATTTCAATCTCCACCTAAACTCCCCTTGCACAACCTTCTCGGATTTCACTGCCCTCTTCTCCTCCCTAAACCCCACTCTCCACATCAACTCACTGACCCACAACCATGACCACCCCCTCGACCTCGTCATCACATATGGTCTTGACATTTCCAACCTGTCCATCACGAACAAGGTCATCTCGGACCACTTCCTTATAGGGTAAGCTTCCACATGTATGCAGATGACACACAAATTTACTTTGCCTCCTCCAGTATCGACTGCTGGTTCACCGATGTTCTATTGGCTTGTCTGGCAGATATCAGAACCAGGATGAGCGCAAACTTCCTGCAGTTGAATGTGGACAAGATGGAAGCCATACTTTTTGGCTCCTGTCAGCGTCTTCATTCCTGCGGATCTAAACTCCTCAACCTTTCCCTCAGACTCACCAAACCAGTGCACAATCTAGGCGTCCGGTTCGACCCCCAGTTGTCCTTCCTCCTCCACATCCGGTACCTGACCAGGACCGCCTTCCTCCACCTCTGCCACATTGCCCACCTCCGACCATACCTTACCCCAAATGCAGCTAAAACCCTCGTGTTTGTCACCTCCCGCCTGGATTATTGAAACAAACTCCTCACTCCACTATTCAAAAAATCCAGCTCATTCCTCTTCGAGTGTGCCTTGAACACCCTCCCTGCCCACCACGCCTCCTTATTCAAAGCCCCAGCCTCGGGTACAAATCCTTGACTATCTAGCACCTTAGGAAGTCCTCCTGATGTGAAAGGCGCTGTATAAATGTAATTTGTTATTATTGTTGTTAATTCTCTGGCCACTCACCCATTCCAGCAATTTAATGAATCCGATTGGCTCCTTCAGTGGCCCAAAATCTAGCTGTAAAACTGTCATATCCCTGTCAAGAGAACGCAGGAGTCAGAGCTCATCCGAACCAGAGCCTTTACCACCCTTTATTTCCCCACCACCATTTCCCTGACACACCCAACTGACACCCTCGCCACACACAAGTATACCCCGCCCCCACCACACACCCGACCTTCCCACACACACCAACCCTGAACCCCCTACACACGCACCGACACCCCCCCAAACAATGAACCCCCACCACACACCCAACCTTTCACTCTAACATTCCCACCACACACACAACTACAACTTCGAAGCCTCCCCTACACAATCACACCCCAACTTCCCCCCGACCCCATACACACAACCCCGACACCCCCATCATACACACAACCAGATTCCAACTCCTGCACATACAATCCGACCCCCCAGCCCCACACACACCCCAACACCCCCTACACACACCTCAACTTCCCTAAACAAGAACAACAAATTACTTTTGTACAGCAGCTTTCATATCAGGAGGATGTCCCAAGGTGTTAGACAGTTAGGGAACCGCACCTCAGCTAGTGCGAGAGGTTGGAATCAGGAGAGGCGGTGGGTAGGGATAGGAGGGTGACTGAAGGCACAGTCGAAGAAGATGGTCTTGAGATGGGTCTTGAAGGAGGCAAGGGAGGGAGCAAGGCAGATGGACTGTGGGATGGAGTTCCAGAGGGTGAGGGCAAAGAGGCTGAAGGCCAGCCAATGGTGGGGCTGGCAAGGCGGGGGACGTGAAGCAGGCCACAGCCTGCTGAGTGGAGAGAGCAGACAGGTTGATACAGAATAAGCAAGTCACAGAGGTGGGAAGGAGTGTAGCCGTGACAGGAACAGCTACTTACCATTACCGTTAGGAATAGGGAAAAGGGACGCATTGGCAAACAAAATAGGAGGTATTAGAACGGGTGACAGCCGTGTGGAACTGGGTAGTTGGGATACTGGGATAGTTGGGAGTATACAATACTATGAATGTTTGACAGGAATGCAGGAGGACACAATAAGGACCAGGTGAACATCCCAGGACCTTCAAGAATAGGCTATTTGTTTTTTATGAGCTAACTCAACACCCACCACACACCCAATCCCCACAAACACACACCCAACCCCTACAAACACACAGCCGACATCCCCTCACGCCCGACACCCCACCACCACGCACGCCGACCGCACCCACAAACGCACAACCGATACTCTCCCACAAATGCACGCCTGACCATCCCCCACAAGTGCATCCCGACCGCCCCTATCCCACAAGCGCACCCCCAACCTCCCCCACACAAGTACACCCCCAACCGCATCCCCCACACATACCGCCTTGACTGACCCGCCCCCACAAGCGCACCCCCGACTGCGCCCCCAACAAGCGCGCTCCTGACCACCCGCTTCATGAGCGCAGCCCCAATAGCGCCCCCACCCCCAATAAGTGCAACCCCAAGCGCCCCCTTCGCAACACCGACCGTGCCCCCAGCACAACTCCGAACCCCGGGACCCCGCGCAACCCCGATTGCCTGCCATACCAGCATACCCCCGACCACCCGCCTCCCCCAACGCACTCCCAACTCGCCCGGCCAGCATATCACACCAAAATCATCCACAAACGCACAGTCACGCACACCCGAACCCCCTGCGCACACCCAAAACATCCACAAATGCACAGTCACACACACCCGAACACATCCCACGCACATCTGCAACCCCTCATGCACACCCGCAACCCCCTGCGGGCACCCAAAGTGCCCCACGTATACCGCAAACCCCCTTGCACACCCGAAATCTCCATGCACCCGAACAACCCCCACGCACACCCGAACACCCCCGTGCGCACCCAAACACTCCCCCATGCACCCGACATCCCCCACCCACTGCACGCAGCTGGATCCCTCGTGCGTACCCAAATCCCCACATGCACACCCGAACTCCCCCCGCGCACACTCTAAAACCCTCCCCATACACACCCGAACTCTTCCCCTGCGCACCCGAACTCCCCTAGCCCATGCACATGAATCCCTTCCACCACCCATTGCGCGCAGCCGGATACCTCGCGCGCACCCGAACTCCCCTGTGTGAACACCCAAACCCACGCACACACCCGAACCCCCGCCGCATGCACACCCCAAACCCCCATGTGCGCACCCCAACTCCCTCCACACAACCCCGTCCGACACCCTCCCCTACACACATCCCGACACCTCCCACACACAAAACCCCCCAAACACACAACCAGCATCACCCAACACCCCTCGCAAACACACAACCAACTCCCGACACAGACCAACCAGCTCCCAACATCCCCCCATACACACAACCGCACCCTGACCTCTCACAACCCACTCCCCCCACATCCCCCAGCACACAACCCCCCCAACACCCCACACCCACACAGAATTACCTCCCCTCACACCCCTCCGACCCCCGTACGCCCGACACCGCACCCCCCCCCCAACATCTGCACACCTCCCGAACTCCGCATCCTCCCCCCGACCCCCCGCACACCCCCCCCCCGCGCACCCCCCCCCCCGCGCACACCCCCAACCCCCCCCGCGCACACCCCCAACCCCCCCCCCCCGCACACCCCCCAACCCCCCCCCCCGCGCACACCCCCAACCCCCCCCCCCGCGCACACCCCCAACCCCCCCCCCGCGCACACCCCCAACCCCCCCCCCGCGCACACCCCAACCCCCCCCCCGCGCACACCCCCAACCCCCCCCCCACCCCCCAACCGCCACAAACACAAACCAGACCCCCACAAACACACACATACAACCCCTCGGTCAACATCCCCGACCACACACATCAAACCACTGAACCAATCCACTACAGCCCCACACAGCCACTGCCCGTCACCGACCCCGCCCCCCCCCCGCACCCCGACCCACCCCGTACCCCGACTCCCCCCCCGCCCCCCCCCCGACCCCCTCCCGCACCCCGCACCCCGACTCCCCCCCCGCCCCCCGCCCCCCCCTCCCGCACCCCGACCCCCCCCACACCCCCCCCCGCACCCCCCCCGCACCCCGACCCCCACACCCACACCCCGTACTCTCTCACTAACCGGATGTCGACGTTAATAAGTCTCTCGGTCTCTGAGGCCCGGAGCCGCGGTATGTAATTCAATGTTTCCCCGTCACTGGTTCACTGAGGCCCCGGATTGCTGGAGCTACAGCCGCGGCCTGGATTTCAGTCTCTTTCCCACCTCCTCTCCTCAGAAACTGCCAGAGTCCCGCCCCCAGACACACACACACAGACAGAGAGGCGCACAACAGCCACAACAAATTACAGCGGATTTCACATCAGGAGGACGGCCCAAATCCGGCAGTTGAAGATTTGCACCAGAGCTGCGGTTGGAGTCAAGAAGGTAAAGGGAGGAGTGTGGACAAACTCAAGGTCAAAGAGGAGGATCTTGAGACGGGTCCTGTACACAGCAAAGGATGGGTCAAGGTGGAGGGCCTCTAGGATGGAGTTCCAGAGGGTGGGCACAGAGAGGCTGAAAGCCTGACGGCCGATGGTAGCCGGGCCGGGCCGGGCCGAGGGACGAGGAACAGGCCAGTTCCCGCTGAGCGGGGGGAGCAGACGGGTTGTTAAGGTTTTAACAGGCTGCAAAGGTAGGGAGGAGCAAAACCGTGGAGGGCTTTAAAAATTATTTTGAGGATCTTTAACTTGATCCTCTGGGGAATGGGGAGCCAATGGAGCTGAGCGAGAATGGGTGATTAGTTTGGTACAGGAGACAACACCAGCTGCAGACTGAGTAATCTGCATCTTGTGGAGGGAAGAGTTGGGAGGTCTGGTAAGCAGGGAATTAGCATAGTCAAACATGGACCTGACAAATGGGTCTCGGCCTGAGGGGAGAGGTAGTGGTGGAAGCGAGCAGTGTTGTGGAGGAAGGCAGAACGGTCATGGGATGGATGTGCGATTTAAAGGATAGTTGAGCATCGAACGGTACACCAAGGTTCCATACTGGCTTCATGAAGTGGAGAGTGCATTCATGAATAGTGATGCTGTTAGCACCAGAAGGTGAGGAGATGCTGATGGAAGCCAAGCAGGAGGGCCTTGGCTCCTGCTTGGCAAAGGAGTGAAGTGTTGTGGAGGTAAGGGAAAGGTTAACGGGTCTAGGAACGGAATGTGGACTTTAAAGGAACATGAGAGCTGAACAGGACAGCGAGATCCACATTGGCTCGATGAGTTGGAATGCGCATCCATGTAATTGATGCCGTCAGTACCTGAGGTGAGAAGGCGCTAATGTGGGATCCAAGCAGGAGGGCCTCTGTCAATGTCAACGTTCAACTGGAGAAAGTTGGCTCTCATCTAGGACTTGATGTCTGACAGTCAGGACAGCAGTGGTCCTAGAATTGAGGATGAAGATAGAGGTACAGCTAGGTGTAATCCGAATATATATGGAAATTAGCCCCATGCCTGTGGATGGCATCACTGAGTGGGAATGTGTAAATATTAAAGAGAGGACCGAAAAAAAAGCCCTATGAAATGTCGCACAGGATGCTGCACGGGTGGGAAGAGAAGCTGTTGGCGAATAGTAAGTGGAGACGTTGGGATAGGTAACAACGAAACCAGACAAAGATGGAACTGAAAGGACATACGGCGGAGAAGGTTGACTGTGTCAAAGGAGGAAGAGAGTTCAAGAGGGAGGCAGATGGAGAGAATGTCATTTGAGAATTTTACCAGGGCAGTCTCTGTATTTTGAGCAGCAGAGAAACCAGAACAGAGGCGTTCATGCAGTGAGTGCAGGGAGAGGAAAGAGCATAGCTGGGAAGCTTAATCATTCCAGTATCTTGGGAGAGGAAAGTGAGGTTGGAGATAGGATGGTAGTTAAGGAACAGCGATGTGTCGACGGAAAGTTTTTTGAAGATGGAGTTGATGACAGTTTTTATGGGGGAACTGTGGGGGGTGAACAGAGAGAGGTTGATGATGTTGACAGAGAGAGGTGGACAAGGAGGTGGAGTTGGGAGGTCAGGAGAGAGGTCGGGGTGTAGTTGAGGGAGCAGGTGGCCTCATTTGGTAAATGATCGGAGGAGAGGGAGACATGGTTGAAAATGTGGAGGAAGGGTCAGGTGGAGACCAGGACTGGGGGTGGTTGGTGAAGTGGTGACGTGAGGGCAGATTTTGGAACTTAGGAAGTGCATCATCTTGTATTTGGAGTTGGAGGAGAGGGTGGGTGGAGCATGAGAAAGTGGGTGAAGGAGCTGGTTTGAGGTGGAGAAGATGAGACTGGGGGTTCTACAGCCCCCGAGATGATTCTGGAATAGAAGGACAATTTGGCTGAGGTGAGCCATTGGAGCAGCAGATTTTGGTATGAATGATCCAGGCAGAATTTGGCAGTAAACCATTAAGTTGGATTTGAGCTTGTGCAGCACAAACCTTTGACTCAAGGGAGCAGAAGTGGGTAATGTACCAGGGGTCTTGTGGGAGTAAGAAGTATTGGGATAGATGATGGGGACAAGGGTGTTTGCGATATTAGAGAAGGAATTGTGAAGGAGAGTGACCGAAGAAGGAAGGTTGTTGTGGAAAGAGAGCTAGAGGGCAGGAATACAGATACCGTGTGTGTGAGATAAAGTGTATGAGACACGTGTCAAAAGTGTGATTGAGACATTGTGTATGAGGCATACTGCGATGGTTTTCACTCCTTGTTGTACTTGCAAATTTTAGTACTAAGTGTAAAGGAAGCTGCAAGGGCCATGACAATTGGGCACCAGTCCTAAGGGTTAATTGAGTATCAGCATAGGGCTGGGGGTTTGGGAGTGTAAGAGGAGAGTCTCGCTGTCAAAAGGCAGAGCTTTGTCAGGGTTGATTATGGTTGGAGTATTGTGAGTATTTGGATCAGATGCTCAAATTAGGTTAATTAATGTATATCCACCCCGCCCCATGGGGAAGAAAGAGCACCTGGCGCTGTTCTAGATGTTTTCTCTGTTGTTGGTCACATCCAGACCAGGTGATTTCAACTGCATCTTGGAGCCAGTTGGAAGATCCAATAGGACTGACATGACATCATGTCCAAGCTTCTCCTAAAAGTGGTGATGGACACGCAGCTGCTTGACATCTTCAAGGCCCTTGCGGATGGTGCACTACAGTAGTTTACCTTTTCCAGGCCAGACGAGTCAGTTCTTTCAAATATCAATTTCCTGTTCCCCTTGAGGAACACAGTACACAGTCAGGAGTACAGATCTCGAACTGGTGTTATTTTCTGACCACCACCTCATGCTGGCTGACCTGGAAGCGTGGGAAAGCAGTGGGATGGGTAACGGGATATGGAAATTGAACGTGAAATTATTAATCCTGGAAATTGTTGAATTGCAGAAGTATATAGAGGATGTAAATCCTTGAGGAACTTCTAAGATTCGTTGGCAGAATGGTGAGACATATTAAGATAATTAAGATTTTTTTTTGTCTAGAAAGGTGTAAGATTAGCCAGAGCCCGACCAATGAACTCTCCAGACCATACTGCAGGGCCTCGCGCAACTTCAGGCTGAAGGCACAGATGTCAGGGAGGAACTTGAGGAGGTGAGCAAGCCTCGCTCTTTGCCTTCGAGGTTTCCAAGATGATTTTCTGCTCCAGAGTCCGCATGATAGCCCAAGACGAGAAGTGTTCAAGCTTCTTCCAGAAAGCACACAGCGGCAACTCTGATTTCTGGATTGAAGGATGAGAATGGCTCTGTGTGCGCGGTGCAGGACAGCATGCAGAGGACCGCCAAGTCCTTTTACGCCAACCTGTACTATGAGAAGCCGATAGAGAGCACGGCCTCCCATGATTTCCTGTCGACCCTTACCAAGGTGCTGGACGAATGGAGTAGGAAGCCCTTGGATCGCCCACTCTCTGGATGAACTGACTAAAGCAATCAAGTCCCTTCAGAAGTGATGGTCTCTTGATCTCTACCCAGCTATGGGATGAGATTGGCCTGGATCTTCTGGAAGCGTACAACAGTGTGCTTCTGGAGGGGGATCATGGCGGACTCTATGAGGAAAAGCAACATCACCTTGATGTGAGTTTTGTGCTGCTCACAGCACAGAGATAGCCCTGGTCAAAGTGACAAATGACATTCGGTACACCTGCGACCAGTGCTCTCTCTGTCTCATGTTTCTTGACCTCTCGGCCGCTTTCGATAATGTTGACCACTCTATTCTTCTCCACCGCATCTCCTCTCACCTCCACCCAATGATTCTGTTCTTGCATGGTTCCAATCCTACCTTTTCCACTGTCTGCACTTAATGGCCAGCAATGGCTTCTCTTCTAGTCCCGCACTGTCATGTATGTAGATGACACCCAACTCCATCTTGTTGCCTCCACCCTCGACTCCAGAACAGTTGATGTCCTGGCTAATTGTCTGTCTGACATCAAGTCCTGGACGAGTGCCAACTTCCTCCAACTCATTGCTGGCAAGACAGAGGCCTTTCTGCTTGGCTACCTGCAGTGCCTCACCTCAGCCGCTGACACTATCACCATTCATGGCTGCACTCTTCATCTCACCTCACCAAGCCAATCTGAAACCTCTGTGTCCTTTTAGACCCTCAGCTATCCTTCAAATCCCACATTCGTGCTGTGACCCGTTCCGCCTTTCCACACTTTCGCAACATAGCCCACCTCTGCCACTGCTTCTCACTGCAGGCCCTCGAGACCCTGAACCATGGTTTCATTACATTCCGGCTTGACTACGCCAACTGCCTGCTCACTGGACTTCCCAACTCTTCCCTCCACAAGTTGCATATTACTCAGAATTTTGTACCTCATGCCCTCTCCCACACTAGGCTCCAGGACCCAATCACCCCTGTTCTTGCCCAGCTTCACTGGCTCCCATTCCTCAGAGAATCAAGTATAAAACCCTTGTTCTTACCTTCAAGGCCCTCCACGGTCTTCTCTCCCCTATCTCTCTGAACTCCCTAACCCATATCAGCCTGTCCACTCCCTCTTCTCGGCAGACACTGGCCTGCTTTAGGTCCACCGCACTTCCCGCCCCACAATTGGAAGTCGGCATTCAGCATCTCTGACCCCACACTCTGGAACTCTACCCTGCAATCTCTCCGCCTCACCTCCTCTTGCCTGCTTCAAGTGCGTCTGACGACCTTCCTTTTCGATCGTGCCTTCCACCACCCTACCACCCCCATCTGCCCTCCTCTCCTTCTGACTCTAACTCCAAAACCCGTGGTTGTCCAGTGCCCTGGGACGTCGTTCCAATGTGAAGTGAATACAAGTGTAATCTGTTGTATGTAACCTTGAGAAAAGAGAAAGTGTAAGGGAAAAGAGAAAGTGGTGAAGAAAGTGGCAGAGAAAAGAAAGTGGGAGAGAAAAGAGAAAGTGGTAGTGAAAACAATAGCAACAAATTACACTTGTATAGCGAAAAGACGTCCCAG